AGACCTTTCATTTGATTTAATAACTAATTGTAAAAAAGATTATTAAAATAAAATTCAATATTATATGAAAATTTTAAAAATTATTATAATAAACTTTTAAACTTAAATTTAAAATTGAATTATTTAAAATACTTCTTAATAAACTTAAAATTTCTTCTAATAAAGTTAATAAAATATATCCTAACTATATTTTTATATAAATTATATTTTTAACATTCAATATTTTATATTTTATTAAAAAATTAATATTCTTTTTTTTATATTTGCAAGTAAATTTGTCTGCTTTACAATTTAAGGGATAGTATTAACTTATTAGTTTACATATTTAAATAAAGTATTTTATTAGTTATAATAAGAAAAAATAAATTTTTAAAATTTTAGTATTTTGATTTAATCAGGATATAAAAACTAATTTTTAACTTTATATTATTTTATAATAAATATATTAAAACTTTTATATATATTTAATAATAATAAAAAAAAAATAAAAAAAATATTTAACTTACTTTACAATAGAAAAAAAAAACTATAAGTTGAATAAAATATTAATTTAAAAAAATTTTTTTTTAGTTTTCTTTTTATTATAAAATGATCAAATGAAAATTAATTTAATATACAAATATATAAAATTTAATTAATAATTTATCTTTTTTTTTATCTACTAAATTAAATAATATTTTTATTATATTATTCTGTAGAAAAAAATAATACTATTAAAAAATTTAAAATGATTTTTTAGAATTAAAGTTAATGTTTTTATGTAATTATTTTAATTAAATTTATTTTATTAATTTTAAAGGTAAATATTAAAAATTTTTTTTATTATTATTTATATTATTAAAATATTAAGTTAAAGTTTTGATTTTTTTTTTTTAAAAATTTTTTAAATAAGAAATCCAGTTGTTGCTTTTTTTGTAACTTTAAGGATTGAGTTTTTTTATAAAATAACTATTATTTTATATAGAAATAATACAATCATTATCAATTTTTTCAGAAGCTTTTAAAATAGCATTAAAAAAAAATTAGAAAATTATAAAATTTTAATTATTCAATAAAAAATTCAATTTATTTAATCAAATATATTTTAGCTAATTTTATAATTTAATAAACCTTTTAATTCTAACTGAATGGAATTTATTGTGATTTGGTAAAAATTTTTGAGAAGGCTGATTTGGATTTAAATCAATATTGACAAGAAAAGTAATTTTAAATGCATATTTTTTATTTTTGCCGAATCCGTAGGCTTTAACTGGAAGTAATTTGTCACAAACGAAGGAAACCATTCTTTTATGTTTATTGTAAAAACTAGGAATTGTCTATTTTAATTTTTAGCTATGTATAAGTGATAGGTCAGGTTTTAATTTAAAGTTCATGAAATAAATCAATGTGTAGGATTATCGCTAACCTTACATACTGCAAATGATAATATGTACACATTAATCAACTATGGTTAGGCGATAATGTCTTAAACATGTCAATTCTTATAGAAGCGAAAAGTTGAGAATCAGTCCTTTAAAGAAATCCAACGTAATTTATTTCATTTATGAATAAATCACAAAATAAATAAGTGTAACTTATCAAAAATTAAATTACTCTACAATTATAATAATAATTACGGTATAATAAAACCTTTTATTTTAATTAAATATTCTTCTTAATCCCAATCATCATCATCATCATCATCGTTTACTTCCCCAAATCCGAATATAGACTTACGCTCTTCTTTCTTTGGAGGTTCCAGTTTCGTAATCACCCCTATATTAAAAAATTCATTTAAAACACGATACAAATTTTACTAAGAATATACTTTGCACTTACCACTTTGAGATAAGCGAAATTCCAGAATTGCAGTGGTAAAATTATCAGTGTTACCAAGTTCATCAAACCCAACAATCCTAAATGTGATATTCAAACCATTCAATATAATTGAATAAAAATGAATAGAAAAATTTATTATGCTATCATTTACCGATCAACAGAAATTCCATCTACGAACACGATAATGCAAGGCAATATTTGAATATTAAGTTTTTCCACCAAGAAAGGGCAATTTTCTACATTAATTTTTACAAATTTTGTTTTGAAATGTCGATGCGCGATTGCCTAATTACATATAAAAATAAATTAGTGCTGAATTGAATAAAAACGCATATAATTTTAAACAATAAATACCGAAATATGTTTATCCACTATTTGACATCTTCGAAATTCCTTATGAAAAAAATGTACTACACACAATTTAGTATTTGTTGATATGTTAAGTACTTCCTTTTCGGTCGCAATTTCTACGTATGATCCATGATCATTTTGACGCATTTCTTGTAACTTTGTCATTCTGTTTTATGACATAATTATTTATAATTAGTGTAGTTGTATTTATCAAAATATTTCAATAAATATATACATACTCTTGCTTTAATTGTTCCATTCTTTGTTCACGAAAACTCGCCAATGCAAAATCATCACTCTCTAATTGTTCAAATAACTCGTCGTCTTCAATCTCATCGGATTTATTATTTGTTTCTGTAATTTTATCAAGCACATCTTGAACCCGTTCATTAATGGGCTCCTGTATTCTAAAAAGTCAGAATTATGAATGAACATTTCACTAAGAGTCATTTATGCATTAAATATTATGGAAAAAAAAATGGAAAAAAAAAAAATAACACACTGTTCTTCGGTGTGTTTGGACATGGTGAAAATTTCTAATGAATGAATATGGAATGAAGTTCAATGTGAACTCCATTTAATTTGTGTTACCATCTCGGTCACACTGTTATAAATTTGACAATCATTCAATTCCATGACGCGATTTAACATTTAACTGATTGGGTATTTGCTTTCTTGAGATCAAAAGAACGTAGAATTTTAGAATTTTTTGAAATCTCAACTTTATACAAAAAACGATGAGTTCTGTTCCACTTACTCCAATCTCTCAGACTTCAACTCGTCTTAGATATAGTCTTGCAACGGAGTTAGTTTTTATAGACAATTCAGATGGTTCTGGAGTAAAAGATCCTTATAATGCTGCTTCTGTACCAATTTATCAGTCGGCAACGTTCAAACAATCTTCAGTAACCCAAATGGGAGAGTTTGATTATAGTCGAAGTGGAAACCCAACTCGTTCACACTTAGGTGAGTCTTCGGCAACTACATTACAGGCTTACTTGATATTTACAACAAGTCCTAGTGTAATAGTGAAGCCATTTTCTTGCAATATGCTGTAGCTGGAACAAAATTTTCGGAAATAAATCTCCATTTCTGAATATATTACTCGAATCAAATGCTTTTATTATTATACTTTGATAGAAAATCATCTTGCAAAAATTATGTCTGCCAATCGAGCTTTTGTGGTTAGTAGTGGAATGAGTGCATTAGATGTGATCACTCGTCTGGTTAAGGCAGGCGAGGAAATCATTGCAGGGGATGATTTATACGGAGGTAATGTTTTATAGTAAAAATATAATATATATATCTTATTATATACCAATTTTCTCTAAATTAAATTACTTCTTTTTTCTTCAAGGTACCAATCGCCTTTTATCGTTTCTTGGTAAAAGTTGTGATATTAAAACACACCATGTCGATACGACTTCTTCGGATGCACTTATGCCTTATTTGCATCCAACTAAAACTAGACTGATTTTATTGGAATCGCCAACGAATCCATTACTTAAAATATCAGATATTCCTAACGTTGCATCTATCGTACATGAAAGATGTCCTAATGCTTTAGTAGTAGTTGACAATACGATGATGTCTCCCTATCTCCAAAGACCTTTGGAATTTGGAGCTGATATTGTGATACACTCTGGGACAAAATATCTCAGTGGACATCACGATTTGATGGCTGGTGTCATTGGAGTTAAAGATGAAGTTGTTGCGGAGGTAAATTACAAATATAATCTGAACTTTGAGAGAGATTATAAAAGATTTCGCTCTTACTTATTTCACGTTAGAAATATCAAATTTAGCATTACGAAGTATCACACGTTAAATGAACTTTCCTTATTTATATCTAGAAAATCTATTTCACTATTAACGCAACTGGTTGTGGTCTCGCTCCATTTGATTCTTGGCTTTTGCTTCGTGGTATAAAAACACTTGGAGTTCGTATGGAAAAGCAACAAGCCAATGCCATCCAAATAGCAGAGTTCCTTGAGTATCACGGTTTTAAGGTCATGTATCCAGGATTAAGATCTCACCCACAATATGGATTACATTATACTATGTCTCGTGGTCCCGGTGCTGTGTTAAGTTTTGTGACAGGAGATGTAGAAGTTAGCGAACGAGTTGTGGAATCAACGAAAATATGGGCGATTAGTGTCAGTTTTGGTTGTGTCAATTCTTTGATAAGGTGAGAGGAAAAGGGCAAAAGAAAATTCTGCTATCATAACTGCTTTCAAAACGATATATATGTTAACTTCTCTGATTAAAATCAACATAAAAAGTATGCCTTGCAGAATGTCTCATGCTAGTATTCCTGCCGCAGTTCGACAGGAAAGAGGATTTCCAGAAGATTTGATACGTCTTTGTGTTGGTATTGAAGTAAGCAAATTTTTATTTTTGCTACGTAAATTGAATGTTATAAATAATTTGACGTTCCTATTTTATATATAGGATGTAAATGATTTGATTGAAGATTTATATTCAGCATTAGTAATAGCCAATGCTGTTAATGTTGGTCAAAATAATGGTATTAAATAAATAGAGTATATAAATTAGAAAGTTAGGCCGAACTTTTATTTAAATCCGAACGGAATCATTAATTTTTCTGTCACACAGCCAAGAACTACTGACGTATGTATTATATAAATATAAATAAAATAAAATAATAAATAAAAACTTGGTATCAATTATAAAAGACCTAGAATCCTGTTTTATTGTTCGAGATTAACTTTGTCGCTCGTTTCAACCCTTTCAAAATTTTAGTAAAGTTAGATTAACATTCATATCATACTTACTCTTTTCAATAAAAACTATAATCTCAAAAAAATTCGTTTGTTATCATAATTTGAAAATGTCGAAATATGTAGTAAAAGCTACTGCTCGAACGATGTAAGCAATCTATTATTGTTCTGGACTTTTTTTTGTAAACAATGTTGATACTGCCAGCATCTTGTATACTTTGAATATATTTAAAAGATTTACAGCCTGACTTTTATCCCAAAGATTTATTTATAATATATTCACACACTTGCAAATGTCTTATATTACAGAAAAAATTATACAAAAGGTTACTCAGATATTCAGGCAAAGGTCCGAAATGCTACTTCTAATGACCCTTGGGGTCCGAGTGGTACTTTAATGGATGAAATTGCTCGAGCAACGTACAATCAGTAAGTATGATTTTCTATTTCGATAGATCCGTGCAAATTTTCATATTGTAAAAAAGTAAATTAGAAAATAGAAAAAGTAATTAAACAAACAAGAGATAGAAAAAGTTTAGAAATATATATATATTTTTTTTAACTACTTGATAAATTTTTTAGGAATGATCATTTAGAAATTATGGAAATGATTGATAAAAGATTAAATGATCATGGTAAAAATTGGAGGCATGTTTTTAAAGTGAGTTAATGAATTTGAAGTTAATGAAATTTAATGTTTTTTTATCATATATTTATAATCTTTTCTATTCATTAGGCACTCACATTATTGGATTACTGTCTACATGGAGGGTCAGAAAGTGTTGTAAAGTATGCAAAAACAAATTTATATGTAGTAAAGACTTTAACAGAATTTCAGTATATCGATGAGGATGGCAAAGATCAAGGTTTAAATGGTATGTTATAGCAATCCATTAAACATACTTTATTTCGTAAATATTTAAAAGATTTCGCGTTATTAAATAATAGTAAGACAAAAGGCCAGAGATATTACTAATCTGCTCCAAGATGAAGAACGACTAAAACAAGAAAGACGAAACAGAGATGACATGAGACGACGTATGGGAGGTCGCGCTGATCGTTCTGTGCTTGACCCAAGTTTAGATAGGTCAGTCGAACAACCTGGTTATCTAGATGATGAGTCAGAGTTTCAAAAAGCAATTGAAGAAAGTAAAAGATCAGCACAAGAATATGAAGCAAGAATAAAAGAAAGGTATAAGAGATCTATCATTGAAATTAATAATAACCCCAAAAAAGGTTATGGTACTAAATTGATTTTAATAATAGTGAAAAAGATGAAGTGGAAAAGGCATTAAAATTAAGTAAGGAGGAAGAGGAACAACGATTAGCTAGAATAGCCGAACAAAACGATAAACCTTTAATAGACACATCAGGGTTAGATAATTTTTTTTTTCGTTTGTTTTAAACATGTTGGTATTATTTAACGTAAAGCTTGATATTATATAATTTCTTCGATAGATATGGAAATAGTCCATTTCTACAGTCGCAGCCTGATTTCTTCAGTCAGCAAATGCATAATCAGTTCAATCAAAATCAATACAGTAGCACATCGAGTAGCCAATTTCCTTTCGATACGATTGATAACTCACAAAACCCGATTAATTATAATCAACAATTTTTGAATAATAATCCATATCAGATGCAACAATCTCAAATCACCAATCCTTATCAGCAAATGCCAACACCTGTTGGTTCAAATAATCCATTTGGAAATTTTTCGCAACAATCGCAACCATCACAACAATCACAACAATCGCAACAACAGCAAACTGGTTTTGGAGCTACTAGTCTATATGGAACAAATGAAATGCCATCCTTTAATATGACTTCCTCATCTAATTTCAGTTCTCCTAACTTAACAAGTTCATCAACATTCGATTCGTTCTCATCACGCAGCACGCAGGTATGCTAAAACCGATCATTTAAGATATTTAATCGATATTAATGTTGCTAACTTATTTTTTTTGATATAGCCCAATTTCGATAGCTTACTTCCATCACAAGTATGGTTACACTTTTATTTAAGGTTTGAATTGATTCGTTAAAATTTTATCGTTATCTAACTTTTTTCTTAAATAATATAGAATATAATAAAACCACAAGATGAAAAACACGCAAAATTGGCTTCACTCATTGGTAGTGGAGGGTAAGTATGATTATAATATAAAAGGTTTAGTTAATTATTTAATATATAATTTATTATTTTCATTAATAATAGAGATGGCATGGACACTTTTGGAAATATTGGAAATCGTCGTATTCCGGCGTAAGTATTAATTTGTGATTTCCTTAATACATATAACATACTAACTGATATTTTATTATTAATTTATTTAAAAAAGTGGTTCTGGTTTTGCCTCTACATTGAATCCAAGTAGTAACGCTTTATCAGTAGATAACCCATCACCAAGACGATCAAATTCAACTGGTGATATTGGTGTCACTCAGGCCAATCCGTTCCTTAATTCAGGAGGTCCTAACTTTAGTAGCGGTGGATATAACACACTTCCACAAGCTTCAGGTTTTAATCAACCCGATACTACTTCAAATCTTGATATATTCTTTAGTGGCAATAACAATAACACATTCAATCAAAGATCGAATCAGGTAAAAATTAAACAAAAGCTTAAGATTTTATTACTTTTTGAAATATTTCTTTTAACAATTTATCTCGTTCTTTATTTTAGTCAATAACACCGTTTTCAAGCACAACTTATACAAGTAATGCTAATAATAGTCTTATTGATCTTGGTGATACAGGAACAGGTGGTTATAGTAGTCCGC